AAAAAAAGCAAGGACCAGTGTACAAATACAATCAATTTTTTATCTTAAAAGAAAATTCAGAATAGAGAAAAACTATACTATAAGCGTGGAAAAATATTTATGAGCGATAGTTTTTACACGCGCGGGTTCTTGCGCGATTATATACCGTATGGATCACGAATAAAGCTGGAACAGTCCCCCAAGGAAATTTTATCGGTTTTACATTGTTGTTTCTTCCGTTATCCAGTAAAAGCTTCGCTTCTTCTTTATACGTTAGTATTTTTATTTGCACAATATTTTTCACACTTAATTTTCTATATATCGATATATTTTATTGCCATTAAATATCCGACGAAAGATGTGACTTCGCTTGAAATTAATTATGTGAAAATAAAAGAAAATCCAAACGAGACAGGAAATCGCTCAATAAAATGTACAAACGACGATAATTGAATGCCATCGGCATGAACCGCTCGTGTCGCAATTACTGGGTAAATGTTTGTATTGTTTTTTTTTTTCCTCGGCGTTCAAGAACCGTGAGAGACAAGTGAGAAGTTTTGTATTGGGTATAGGATTGTGTCGTGAGAGAAGTTTATTTAGTTTGATGTTTCCCCGATAGTAGATATTCCTTCATGCCTGCCTACCCTCTGACAGATCCCTTTTTGATGCCCACACGTTAGAACTCTGCTCAAGTGCTTGAAGTGCTTTCGCGAATGTGGGGTTTGGTGGCCACAAATTGACAAGATGGTTGTACGCTATTTTCTATCTCTTTTCTTTTCCCGAAAGAACTGCGAACAAGTTTGTCGCTTATGACGCAACGAAAATCCAGTATTAGTCTTTGTACAAGGTGTACCGAGGTAAGTGGAACTTGGGGGAAAAGTTATACCCATTATGTTGTTCGTTGGCTTTTAGGTAGCGACGGTTAGAGTTTACTGACGGCATTGTCAATACCGCGTGCCTTGCAATGCCGCGACTTACTCTAACCAGCGCTATTTCATAGCCAACAGCAAAAGAAACTAGCATCGGTTCCCTTTTCCCCTAAAACTCTTTATAGGTTCCATTTACGTCAATTACCTCACCCTAATGCATCTTATTAAAAAAATAAAAAAAAAAAAAAAAAAATAAAAATAATATATAATACACATTTCTATATAAGCATTTATATTAATGTCGAACTACAAAATTACTTTCCAAATATATTAATTGCAAATTAGCTGACTGTTAATCAATAACGAATGACAAACTCTCAGTATTTGAGTATTTCGTCAAAGGTTCTAAATCGAAAGTACCACTAGCTTCTTTCTGCGAAAACACTGAATCTTTTACACTGACTCTTACGCCAGCATGGTAAATGAAGTTGCGTGTGCGTGACCTAGGTAATTACAGCTGCTTGAAGGTGGATCTGATCTTCACGCGGGATCGCGCCTTCTACTTTACGACAGTTTTCATCCCGGGCATTATTCTGGTAACCAGCTCCTTCATCACATTCTGGCTCGAATGGAATGCCGTGCCGGCGCGAGTGATGATCGGTGAGTCCGCGCAAACGCAACGCCGCCCCGTATCTCAAAAATCGACACAGATTCGTTCTGATTTTACATTGTGAAATGGCTCGGGGTGAATCGGCCGAATTGACCCCGCGCTTTTCATGTGCAGTGATCGGAAAAAAAAAATAATATAAATCCATTGTTCATGAATCCGTTATTTATTATCCGTTATTTATTATCTGTTATTTTTTTCTCCAAACTATTGTGCCTCGGAAAGACGCAATTTCATATTTCAACGCAAATCCCATTACTTTAATAAAGATAATGCTTATGAAATTTTCTGAAATCAATTTCTCGTTTGTCTATTTTCGCGTTGAGTATTACACGTTCAAGTGGATTTTATTGACGGAATAAAATATTAAATAAAAAGACCGAGTGTCATCGACATCGACTTGTTCCGCGGAATTAAAATAAGAAGCTCAGTTAAAATTGTTTTCGTTTTTTTTTTTTCAAATTTCAAGTATTTCCAGTCATTCACTACTCATTGTGATTTCATAATATCTATTCTCGGACTTAAAAGAGGAACATTAGACGCGCTTAAATCACAATAGGTGTGCGATTATTGGCATAAACGGAATATAAAGCGCGTTTTCAATTGTGTTTCAGGTGTAACGACGATGCTCAACTTTTTCACCACGTCGAATGGCTTCCGGGGAACGCTGCCCGTCGTTTCGAACCTGACTGCCATGAACGTGTGGGACGGCGTGTGCATGTGCTTCATCTACGCGAGTCTTCTCGAGTTCGTCTGTGTGAATTACGTCGGTCGCAAGCGGCCGATGCACAACGTTGTCTATCGTCCGGGCGAGAACCCCGTCACCCAGGTACTTTGCTGATTGACGTGTCCTCGATGATTTTATTCAACGTGATAAACGCATATGAACCGCACTCCCGGTCGCAAATATTTCCGAACGACGCGAATTTAAATGGGGCCGTACTGCCTTTTTCGCGCAATTAATATCAATTAACACAAATTATACGACTTGACGTAAATCCGCCGTTTTTTTTTTTTTTTTTCCCCCAAGATAAATGTGATATCTGGGGTCGGTTTCAAATCCAATCACACACTGTCGAGTGTCGTTAGAGTGACTTGTCGACAATCTGAATTTATTACACTCTTAATTTTATATAAATTTTAAAATTACAACTAATTTTCGATTAATTTTATGTGAATTTACAATTAATTATTTAGCACGTGCACACGAATCGAGAATATCGAGCAATGTTTTAAACTTATGCTGATATAATCTATTTCATATATCCTATCTTGTGCCAGATTAGCAAACTAGGCGGTACTTTACGGAGGAATTATTAATCGCCCTGCCCGCTAATATCGACTATCAAGCGAGGATAGTAATCGTGATTATTAAGACTACAAATAAATACAGATTTCCCACGTACGGTAAATTTAAAGCGCGTATGATAAACTTAAAGCGACATCCAACACTAACCGATATGATCTCCCGGGTCGATGATAGGATATTGCTGATACTGATACTGTGAGGTGAGAATTATCGATAGTATCTTGTCAGGAAGCGGTGTTTCCTTCAGCAGAAACAAATTGAGACTGTAAATTCCGCGAGACCTTGCACCGTGTTTGACTTATAAAACCACAGTCGCGATCACATCTCTCTGATTTCATCGAATAGGAATAACGCGCAAGAAGATTGCGACGAGAAAGTGATTTTGTATCTTGAAACGGAACGGGATAAAAAACGCCAGGTAAACATGCGTGTCAAAGAATCGGAATCTCATTCATCATGTGACTGGTCTCTCATTGACTTGCGAACAATGATTTTGACAATGTGAACGCGATGAAGAGCTATAGATTCTTGAATGTTACTTCTAAGATTGACACATGATCACGCACGCGTGCATATTATCCATACCATAAAACTAGAAATGTTTACAGGGTGATAATTAGGATATTGCTGTGGCTGTTATTTAGAAAACAGGTGCATAAAATCGAAAAAATCAAATAGTTTTCAGCGCGATAAATATGTTTATTTTATATATATTTTATATATTTTATAGTATAAAATTTATATAAAACAATTCTCAACAAAAAATTTATCTTTTTTTATTAAATTAAATTAAAGACAAATACGTCAGCCAGGAAATCTTGGAAAAATTACTTAAATCCACACCAGACTACACATCGAAGATTGAAGATTGCAAATTGGATATTGGAATTCGACCGATCAGGACAAAGTGAGCTAAGATTGCTTGATTTGTCGAATTCTAATTTCCAATTCGCAATTTCAATCTCTAATGTATAATCTGATACGGATTTCAGAGTATTATTACAGAAGAAAGTATTTTCGAAGGTGCTTATATAAGTCTTGTCAATTTTCAGAGAGAAATCACTTTGCAAACAAATATTTTTCAATGTAAGCAATAATTTAACACTTTGTCTTTGCACTGCTTTTACTGTCTTCAAATTGTCTTATTAAGTCATATAAATTAAATTTGTTTATAATTTTTATTTTGTAATAATAAAGATAATTTGTGTCCAAAATTGATTTTTTTGTCAATTCTATGCATTTGTTCTCAAATAATAACCAAAATTGTAGCAACATTTTACTTGTCACTTTGTACGCCACAATGCATTTCGAGCCATATTGAATTTTACAAGAATTGACTTTCCACGGTGTTCAATATTTTTCATATCACTCGTTCTTTTGTCGCGTTTACATTCTGCACATATGAACTTGTTGGCGTGACCTTGCACAAACACAGTATGATTTCTTCTAATCTCTGCATCTCTCGAGACTTTTCTATTTCTAGAGAAAAGATATTTTCTATATCTTTTCATACATCTTTTCTTTTATCCAGAGAGTGTGAGTATTATTTTTCTGCCAAATTTCGGTCATTTGCGCTTCGTGCAAAAACTGCAAATTCTTTTGCCGCGAGAGAATCACGCGCGGATCGTGCCGCTTTCTTTCCCGGCAACGATCGATCGATCCTCGATACACATTTGACGACACACGATGTTCAACGATAATTGTTTTATTAGCTGTGACACGTCAATGTTTCGTATTTAATGCACAAAAGCATCCAAGAGAGACACATTTTGAAAAGAAAACGGAAGACGGCTCTCCCGTCTCTTAAAACGACAGACAGCCCGTCACGGGGCAAACTTGAGCACCACTGGCATAAATAGCGCGCTATTCCTTCGAGAGTGCTCATCATTTTCGAAAGACGCTGCAATATGCATGTCTCCGTCGTTTAACTTCTTTTTTTCTTTCTCGACCCTGATGTCTCTCATTTTCACTTTCACTCATTCTTACTCTCTCACTTTTTCCATTTTTCTCATTCTAATATCTCTCACAATTTCTGTCTTTCTGTCATCAAGTCCTTAGTTCGTCGTTTGATTTAACAGCCTTTGTTTTTTCCTTATATTCAAATATCTCAGACAGTCAAATGTTAGCAACGTTTGCTATTGATCAAATTTGCTATCAGTCTGCGAACGTTGCTAACATTTTGCTTACTGGGATTTTAAACACCGCAAAATATATTTCTTATATAAATCAATTTCAGCCCACGTCAAATCAGCAAAATTGAAGTAGGAGGATCAAGGGCCCAAAGCAGGATCTTAGTTGCCAAAAAATTCTTCTTTATTCTTTGTTTCAAAAATTGATAATCGTTTCGGTCGATCTTCCGACCATCCTCAGCACAACATTAAAAGCAGTCTAATAATATATCATAGAGTAAAGAAAACCATGATCATCGGACAGCAATCAGTTAGTCAAACACATTAAAAGGTTGTGTGAATCCCAACTTACGAAGTTGTCAACACTATCACGAGTGACTGCGAGAGATGTAACCCTTACATCGTCACTCGTGATACATAATATTGACAACTTCATAAGTTGGGATTCACACAACCTTTTAATGTGTTTGACCAACTGATTGCTGTCCGATGATCATGATTTTCTTTACTATGATATGTTATTAGACTGCTTTTAATGTTGTACTGAGGATGGTCGAAAGATCGACCGAAACGATTATCAATTTTTGAAATCAGGAATAAAGAAGAATTTTTTGGCAACCAAGATCCTGCTTTAGATCTTTGATCCTGCTACTTCAATTTTGTTATATTTCTTATCTTTTTCACTCATTTCGTGAGTTTCCGGGATATTCCTATTATTTTTATCCCGTAATTAAATTACGCTCTTTATTTGAACATAAACTTCTCTGTAAAAATTGGAACAATATAAGTTTTAAAAGTTGCATAATTCAGATTTGCCGAAGAAGAATGCCGTGTTGGATGTAATATGTGAGTCATACACACATATATATATATATATGCAAACGTTATACTGTGATGAGTCAAGAAAACTGCCAAGATGTCAAGCAAAAGAAAATTGACGTCCTATCGTCCGATTATCCATCTTACAACTGGAATACCACGCTAAACAAACATCTCGTGGTCGCTCAGAGAAACTAACGACAACGAATACGAATACGAATAGCGAGGATCGAGATATCGAAAAATCATGAAAATGAACGATACAAGAAAAAAGTCGAACATGCTTTTCTCACTTTCTCTGTCTCTGTCTCTGTCTATCTCTTTCTCTCTCTCTCTCTCTCTCCCTCAGTCTCTTTCTCTCTCTCACACTCTCTCTCTCTCTCTATCTCTCTCTTTCTCTTTCTGTCTGTCTGTTCTGTTATAAACACGATTAGTAAGAATTTGGTTGGTGGAAATGTTGGTGAGTAAGTCTCTTTGTTTGGTGTCTGTGATGTTACAGCGGCTCCCAGCGGTGCTCAGCAGGATAGGAATTATATTGGCCAGCCCTTTGGTAAGACCCCCCCATTGCATTAGGGCGCGGTCACGACTTCGCGCGTCCTTCGCCTTCGCGAATTGCGAAGTGCAAAATACCTCCTTTCGGCTAATCGAGACTGAGATCGCGGGGAAGAAGAACGCGAGACAAAAAAAAATAATCGTAATCGAGAAGAATGTATTGTGACGCGCGTATTAATTTCGCACGGGTATCAAGCATCGGAGGGAATTGCAAATCGAAACGAAAAAAAAAGAAAAAAAGAACAGTGCACATGCAAGGTCCTAACCGCGTCCTAAAAACCTACCGGACACAACACACACACACGTACAGACACAGACACTTGCTCTCGTTATCATATCAGACGTCGTATGTTTTTTATACTTCCATATCTTGCTGGCAATGTGTCACGAGGAGCACATGAAGGTGGAAGAACGGTCGGAAACGTCGCGCTTTACGAAATTATCGAAATTCAATGGTGTTCATATTTACGATACTTTTCACAAAAATAGAGAAAACAGCTTCCGCTATTGCCATAATTATTTCTGCCCCAGCGATGGCGTCGTAGAATCTAATCTGTCGAAAGTATTGATAATACTAACACTCGCGCATTAACGTTTCGCGACGTAACGTTGCAGAAAAATATAAAACAGCCGGGAAATATGTATTCGATCGCGGAGAACAATCACGAAAACGATAAACGTGGAACTTCGCACATATTACATTCGCGTGTAAAAATGCTCGCAAACTTCGAAGTTTTCTCGACAAAGTTTGGCGGTTTGGCTCGGAAAAACAAGACATTTCCATGTGAATATCTCCCTTGGCACTTTGTTAATATTCGAATAAATTATTTCTCCTTTCCACATGCTCTTTTACCACACATCTCTTAGTCTTTCATCTCTTTTTCTTTTCCCTTCTTTCTCTCTCTTTTCTCTCTCTCTCTCTCTCTCTCTCTCTCTTTCTCTCTTTCTCTTTCTCTCCCTCTTTCTCTATCTCTGTTTCCCTCTTTCGATGCACGGTAAGGGCATGCTCTCTGCGATGCAAGTGCACGTCATATATAAATGCACAGCACGATGAAGAAAAAGAAACTTACCTTCTCATTCCAAACGAAAAGCGAATCAAGTCGCGTTCAATTATACCGCATCATGCAATAAACATTTGAAACACCGGAATACGCAGATATACAAAATTTATATCAGTGATATATTCTGTATGTATACATATTTCCGATTTCCAAAAATGTATTTTATTACGCAAAACATAAATAATGTATTTTATTACATAAAATGTATTTTATTATATGGATTCGTATTTCAAATTTCGTGGCAAATTAAAGATTGTTTAACGCGGACTTAAAATATATTATTTAAACGGGGGGGAATATGCAAGCACAATTCAAGATCATAATTCAAACGAGTTTAAAACTGACTTGGTAGTTTCATTATTTTTAACGATACTTTATCCCTTCACGCTACCAAGAGTTACGCGAATCGCTGCGCATTTGTATACAAAATAGGAAATATGGCAGTAGGATCTCGTTAACTCGCTGTATAAATTTCCCTTCCCACCCTTGCTCCTCTCGCATCTGGCCTGCGTTTTATATCGATGATGGAGAATCGTTAAAATGTACGTATTACGCATGAAAACGCATGTGAGAACGCATGGTGTGTGTGCATGGATGCATGCTACAATTTCACTCGACGCAATGTCCGATATTTCGATACTTTCGATGCCTTAGCGAGGGTAATGCTGCCGCTTGTAAGAGGATTTGCGCGCAGTGATGAGGAAAAATATGCGCTTAACTATTTTTTTTTAATCGCTTCGATAATCCAATCGCTTTTATTTTTACAAAATACACGAATGTAACAAAGAGTGTTCTTTTAATAACCTGATCGCTAATGTTACGTGAAGCTAATTGAAGCTTTGCTTTCTGATTGATTTAGAAATTTTCTTATTTGACGCTTGATTATCAAACAGTAAACGTTGTTAATGTTGTTTGGTAATATCTTGAGGATCGGTAATATCCTTCTTTTATTTATTTTGCGAGAAATCTGGTAACTGACATTCTTGTCACGTTTTATTGTAAAGAGGCATTTATTGAGAAATATCGATACATCCTTTTACGATTGTTAATCGCTTCTGCTTCATCACCAGCGACCAAGATTTTTCGCGTGTGATCATTTATTTTCATGGCACATTACTTGATCGCTGTGTCTCTAATCAAAATGTTGAATATTTATTTTTCGTTCATTCTTTCCTTCTTTATTTTCACCAATTAATATTATAATACAACGACAAAAGTCTATGCTCCAAATAGAAACATCATGGCCGCTGGCGTATTAATGACGTTACCATCATCTGCAGACATCTTTTCAAGTAGAAAGGCTTTGTAATTTTGGCATGCCGCCGAAAGAGAAAACGGAGATAATCCTCCAATAATTATCACGTTCCAAATGCTTTCTGCGTTCGACACTTTCTTAGCGTAGCTCTCATCATGATGATCACTAATTTCGAATTAAGGCAAACAGAATAGAACGGCTTTCGTAACGTCGCAACTCGTCAGGCAAAAAGAAAAAAAGAAAAGAATTTTTTTTTTTGCAAAAAGAAATCACGAACGTATACAATAGATAGATATGTCATTCTAACTACTCGGAATTCGAAGCCACGGCAATTCCACGCGAGAAACGATGAAACGTGCAAACTAATTAGAAACTATCACCTCGTTATATATACATCATGCCTTGACTGTGGTACCAACAAATTGCTTTCGCCATAAAACTAACCCCCATTGAAGCTTAACACGTAGCATAAGCTTGAGAGATATCTTTCGAGACGCAACAAGGCGGTGCGGGGATCCGTTTGAAAATTCGCACAATTTTTTTTCTCCCGCAAACATTTTCAAGCGAGATTTCACGGAGAAAGACGTGCCGGGATGTAAATTTATTTTACGCAAGCCCCTGCCCCGTAGAATGCCGTCAGTATTTACCCGAGAAAGTTTGTCTGAGAATTTTATTCGAATTGATCTTACAATCTTATGTTGACTCATATATATTTAAACACAATTACCGTCGTCTTTCTCCTTCCGACAAAACTTCCGAGGAAAATTGCAAAGGGATTCCCTGATCGGCGACGCTCGCGGTTTACTTCATGAGGGAAACTTCTGCTCGTGGAAGTATCTTGTCAGACGAACCGTTTAGAAGTGTACAGTTGTTTATACGAGAATGATGTTCACATCGGACCAAAACTACACAGCGCGGCTAACGACTAATCGATATTAACCAGGAGGTCCTCTCTCCGATCCTCTAACACGGCGCTCATTCGGCCGGAAAATCGTATCGGCTCCGGATTGCTTCGCAATCGAATTCCCAACAAATAAAAAACCGCCGGTAGTGTTTCCGCACGAATAATTCGCAATCACGCGACCGGCAAGCTATGCACTATGACAGCAACTGAATTGGGGTCCGATGTGAAACATGATAAGTAGTTGTTTATACGGCATGTAATTCGTAAGTTATACGCAGAGGCACGAAAGTGTTGATTGATATACATATATACCAAAGACATCAAATATTGTTTAGAAAAATAAAAGAAAACAACGATTCACTCTTCGATGATTTTTTGCAACGAGCGAAGACGATTCCACTTCCGCGTGTTTAGAGTAATATTACGTCCTTTCTCCCAGTTTCGTGCGATCACAACGGATACAATTCGTCGCGGTTAAATCTCTAATTTTGTCAGTCCGTAATGATATCCATTTCGTGTATTTGTTATCTAAAAGCGGGATAAAAAAACTTGGATATATCTCTCTTTCAATTTCTCTCCGTACGCGATAAACGCTATTTCAAAACGGTGCAAAAATCGTCGGTAAAACGTTTCCGCCGGACTTCCGCGAAAATAGTGAGCGTTTTCCGTCAATTTCACGCAATTTCAATCGAAAAAAAAGATCACCGCGATTTTCCGTCAATTTGCGACGATTTTCAACAGAAAATGGTGCTGCGGTGCGTCCTTTTTCGAAAGTATCACACGCCTTTACGTGCAAGCTTGATCGCCGCCTCCTTACCAAAGCCTCTTAGTACGCTTACGTTATTTATGCTTATAAAAAAGCCGCGCCACTCTCAATCGTTTATTCATCACCATGTATCCCTTACGGAAGATTGATTACTCTGATAGCGCAACAATGTGTCGCGTATCAAACGGTAACCGTGAACGTTTCCGTTCTCATGTTTATCAATTCGCTTGAGCCATACTCGCTTGTATGTATGTAAAAATTCAAAAGGCCAATAAATACATGTATATGAAGGGAACGTGAAAAATCGGAGACCGTAAGCACGTGCGTATGGGGCATTTCGAGGGGGAGGTGAGGGGGGAGGGGATCGCAAAAAAAAAAAAAAAAAGAAAAAGAAAAAGAAAAAAAAAGAGAACGAGTCGAAAGGGTGGATCGTTGTTTAAAATGACACATTGTCATTGAGAATATAAGTTTCTTCTACGGAGACCCTGTCGCAGGGTAAAAAGAAGCGGGAGGGCGGACCTACCACCGGTGGTGCTACTGGACCGAACGAGATCGTCACCTGCACCAACTGCGGACCCAATCCCTGCACGCACACGGCAACGAACGGTTGCACCGCCGAGGTAAATGAATCTACTTACTTGCGAGAGTGACGACCGGTTATCGGTCGTTCCCTCCTTTCTCGCGGAAAAAAAATATAAAACACGATAAATTTACATTTACGATAAATAAACTATTGTTCTTTCAAAATTTGGATTATAAAATTGAATTAAATTTGAAAACTCAAATTGAAATTTATACGTATTCATTTTAGATAATTGAAACGTTAATGCTAGGCCTTTGATTAATTTTTCAAAAGTTACATCGCATATTTGCGATTTGACAGTTGCGAGAAATATAACGATAAAAGACATATAATGATAAGAAACAAGTTTACATTTAATAAATTCGATAAAATGAAGGCTTGAAAACTTTGCAATGCCACAAACGACATAGTCGACAAGGCGTCTCGAAGTTGGATAACGCGTTAACGAAAGTCTCTACTTGCAGCTAAGGAAAAAAGAGCCGCCGCATCCGATTAGAGTGGCGAAGACGATCGACGTGATAGCCAGGATCACTTTTCCAGTCGCCTATTTCATGTTCCTCACTTTCTTCTTCATTCACTATAAGGGCACCTCGTAGAGTGGCGCACAACGATCCTCGAGAGATCTCTCATCGCCGGTGTGAGCGACAACGAAGCCTCGCGCGATAGGCGACAACGATGCTCGGCCGCGGGGATCGGATCTACAGTGGGTTCAACTTCTCTCCCAGAACCTACCGAAAGTACCTCCGAGTAGATGAATCGCGTCGATAATCGCACGAGTGTGCGACGATCGAGTCTCCCCCCCATAAAGATGAAGATAATGATGCGTAACGCAAAGCCGGTGTCTCTAAAAAGAAATAACGACCCCTTAATCAACTGCAATGGACAAGATCGAGCCGTAATAGACAGAGAAGACGAGTATCCGATGGATAAATCTCCCGGAGAGAAAGGAGGAAAAGCGAGCCGATAACTGAGGAGTATTCAAAACGTAAGACAAGAGGACACCCACGGTGGATTCGTCTCCCGATATTCTTCATTTTCTCTCACATGTGATAGCTCTTGAAAGCACTTCTTTACGGAGGAAGTAGATCCGCGACCATGTGCAGCAGTATATAT